ATTTATGAATGTATTTGCTTATTTGATGATTGTATTGAAAATACAATACAAAACAGAATATTATAACATTTTGTGTAATATTCCAGTTGCCAGATTTTGATTGTCAAAGAAAGGAGTGGAGAGTGTTGTACAGGGAGAGCCTGGACCTTGATATAGTGAAATGTGTCTGGCTTTCTTAAACCAGTAAAGCTCACTAAAAAGTTTTATAAGTGGTTAGAATCTTTAGGTTCAAATGTTTGAAACACCCACACTTCGTAATCTGTGATCTACTCCTCAAGGAATACCACCTTCCTGAACTCTGCTGTGTCCTAAACTCTAACTTCTCACTTTAAAAAACTTAAATCTATATAAAAATTTTTAAATAAAACCCAGAACCCCAGAGGTTTTGTTTTCTACTTAGGTTACTCTGATTGAACCAGCAATAAGAGTTGGTTAGGAGAAGGCTGCCATCTTGTGGCCAAATAAAAGAACTTGTTCCTAGATAGCAGCACACTGGTGGCTTGCCCGCAGATCTTGCTGATGGAATGCTTCTTATCCAGCCCTCACAGCATTCCCAGAGCCTCTTCACTAACAAGTACAATGTCCTCAAAAGCTACAGTTGACTCCCAACATCAGGGAATCAGCTATAGTTGGAAGCACATTAAAAACAAAAACTCTCTATGCTGGGCATGGTGGCCTACTTCTGTAATCCCAGCAACTCTGGAGGCTGAGGCAGAAAGATTACAAGTTTTGGGCTGGGGATGTGGCTCAAGCAGTAGCGCATTTGCCTGGCATGCGTGGGGCGCTGGGTTCGATCCTCAGCACCACATAAAATAAAATAAAGATGTTGTGTCCACCGAAAACTGAAAAATAAATATTAAAAAAAAATCATCTCATTCTCTCTCTCTCTCTCTCTCTCTCTCCTCAAAAAAAAAAAAAAAAGATTACAAGTTTGAAGCCAGAATCAGCAATTTAACCAGACCCTTCCTTAAAATAAAAAGGACTTTGATGTAGCTCAAAGGTAGTATGCTCCTGAGTTCAATCCTGGGGGGCGGGGGCTGGGGAATAACCTCTTGGCTCAAACAAAACCTCAGGAGAAAGTGAGAGGCAGGGGGAATAAATGTATACTTCTTCCTTCACAACTCTCTGAATTTAAAACAAAATGGGGAAAGAGAGGGCAGCAGAGGAAGGGCTAGTGGTATAGCAAAATGACACAGTACTTGCCTAGCATGCAAGCAGCCCTGGGTTCAATTTCAAGCACACAAAAAAATAAAGGGAACTGAAACCCAGAAAGATCAGGTGACACAGCCAGAAGCCCTAATCTCCCCTCATCACTGAAGGCATCTCTCCTCTGACAAATGAGTTCTTCACACATGCCTGTCGTCCAGATTTCTTCGCACCTTTTCCTGTAACCTCAAGTTGGAAAAGCCAAAAATCCTAGACTCTCAGAGCCTAATTCCATCCTAACCAGCCTCTGAGCAGATTTAATTAGAGCAGAGTAGATAAAGACTGCCAAATGATGGGACACAAAAGTAGTGTTGTCCCACAGAACTTTGTGCAATGATAGATAGAAATGTTCTATGTCTGCATGGTACAGTATGGTAGCCACTCAATTCACATGGTTTTTGTTGTTGTTGTTGTTGTTGTTGTTGTTCTAATTAGTTATACATGACAGCAGAATGCGTTTTGACACACTGTACTAAATGGAGCACAACTTTTCATTACTCTGCCTGTACATGGTGCAGAGTTCACACTCTTTGTGCAATCATGTGTATATAGGGTAATAATGTCCATCTCATTCCACCATCCTTCCCATCTCACACGTCTTTTGAACATTTGAAACGTGGATAGTGCCACTGAGGAATTTAAGTTTTTGTTTTTGTATATGAACACTATACCTTTATTTAGTTTTATATGAACACTATACCTTTATTTATTTTTATGTTGTATATGAACACTATACCTTTATTTATTTTTACATGGTGCTGAGGATCGAACCCAGTGCCTCACATGTGCCAGGCAAGCCCTGAGCTACAACCTCAGCTCAGGAATTTAAGTTTTAGTTCTTCTTAATTTAAATTCATTGAAATAAAATTGCTACATGTGGCCACCATACTAGATAACACCTCTCCAAAGTTTGAATCCCTAATCCACTATAGCATGTTATCACCTTAACAAAAACATCCATCTGTCCACTCACGAATGCATGGTTTGAGTGTTATATGTGGAATAGTGCTAGGATGGCATAGCATGCAAACATGCACACATATGCACACACAGGAAACATGTTCACTGCTTTCCCATACATAGTATACCATGGGTAGGGCATATGAAGCATGCAAACACATACTTGAAGAAAAGAATGCAGGGAGTGGGGTCTCTACTCTCTAATGGGGAGTTGGAGGGCTGTGTTCAAGGAGACTTAGAACTAAAGCAGGTGCTTCAATGTCAGAGGCAGGAACATGGGGGCACAAGCATTTTAGAGAAGGGAGGATAAGAATAAGGAAAAAAAGGGCACATCAGGAGTTTTGTTCAAAAGATACCAAGAAGCCCCACCTAATTCAAGAAATGGTTTATTTGGAGATTTGTTTTTTGTTTTGTTTTGTTTTGTTTTGGGGGGGGGGGGTGTTTAAGGAAATCACAGGAGAGAAAACTAAAGAGAAATTCAGATCTGTTTCCAAACCAAAAAGAGAGAGGGAGAGGGAGTACAGGGAAGGAACAATGGAAATAAAAAGAACCAATTAAAGACTGCAATGCAGGGAGGGGACTAGATTTTGGAAATGAATAAATGTTGGGGATGAGTGAACATTACAAATTATTTTAAAATGTAAGCCACAACAAATGGAAGATTGCTGGAACCATTCAAGGGTAGATACTAGGAGAAAGATGAAATGGTGAACGGTTTGGCAGGTGTTGAAGCCGAGGCTATGAAAAATTCAGATGAATCAACAAGCATTTTGACTAGGTGAAAATGAGACTCAAAGTCAGGAGAGAGGGTGGATGTGTCGAACCAGAAGCTTTTGCAGAAACCATAAGGTAAAGAGGTAGATCCAAGAGAAGGAGAGAAGGCAGAAGAAAGAATCTCAAGACAGGCTCCATATCGGATGGAAATGACCTCTTTGCAGGGATTAAAAGGGGATCAGAATCAGAGACAGAACATCCAGATAAGCTGTGCCCCTGTGACAGGGGTTGGAAGAGCCTTCTCACTGTATGCTCTTTGCACCTCTCCAGGCAGCATTCCTACCTTCCTACCTCAATGGTATACTGTGCAAAAAATGGAAAATATGTCTGAGAACTTTCTATTTCAAAGCCTACAAAAAAGCAGGAGGATGATATGATATAAAGAGCCAGGATAGGAAAGCAAGTCTTTTAAAAATTAGATTTTGCCTTAATAGTTTGAAAAATCAGTCCTAGACTAGACACTGGTATGGTTCCACCTAACGAAGCTCAAAAGCAAGACCCATGTCTAAATGTGATAGGAATCAGTAGTTTCCAATCTTGGGAAATGGTCAGGCTGCTATGGGGATGTCATCAGAGATCACTGACTTAAACAGCCTGGGCAACTGGTATACTTTTGCAGCTTCCCCAGGAGATTCTAAAGAGCAGCCAGGGTTGAGAACTCTTATGGTTTGGATAACAGGTGTCCCCCAAAAGCTTCTGTGAGACAATATAGAAATGGTTAGAGATGAAATTATTAGATTATGAAAGCTGTAACCCAATCAGCAAATTAATCATTCTAGAGGACTACTGTACTTGGTGGTAACTGTAGTCAGGTGAGGTGAGGCTGCAGGAAGTCAGTCACTGAGGGTATGCTTTAAGGATGATATTTTGTCCTTGGCTTTTCTCCTTATCCCTCTCACTCTCCTGGCTGCCATGAACTAAGAATAAGAAGCTTTTCTCTACCATGCCCTTCTACCATGATGTTCTTCCTGCCCTAGGCCCAGAATCTCTAAAACTGTAAGAAAAAAAATCTTTTCCTCCTATAAGTTGTTCTTGTCATGTATTTTGGTCACAGCACCAAAAAGTTGACCAACATAAGAACCATTCATTGATGCCAGACACCCTAACCCAGTTTTTACAATGCCCTTTAAATATCCCTACTATTGATAGTTTTTTTTCTTTTTTCTGTAACATGTTACAATTGGTAAACCCACCATTTCTCCCTAGGACTTTCTGCTTCTGCCATGTTTCACTTCTGCATGGTCCTTAATGAAAACTGTAGGGGAGAAACCTAACTGGTCAAGGACAAAACTATGCAAAAGTAATTTCCCTTCATTAGTCTTGTTCAGCTCTATACAATGTAAAAACAAGTTTTACAAATACCTTAAACTTCTCTGCCAAGTAACAATTTCTTTTGAGAAATTTAGTTACATGAAAGGAATTCTCTTCCTGATCCCATCTCTTTCTTAAAGAATGACAAGATGGGACTTGGGAGGCTGAGGCAGGAGAATCCTAAATTTGCAACCAACCTCAGCCACTTAGCCAGAACCTGTCTCAAAAATAAAATAAAAGGACCAGGACTATAACTCGGTGGTAAAGTGCCCTGAGTTCAATTCCCACTATTACAAAAAAAAAAAAAAAAAAAAAAAAGTGAGGGTAATTAAAAAAAAAAAAAAAAAAAAAAAAGTGAGGGTAATTACAACATGAGAAGTAAGTCTACTGGTCCCAATCTGCCCAGGAGTTTTCTATTCTTGTCTGTCACTTTCTGCACTGGGGGAAGGGAGTATAAACTGTTCAGAGGTGTAGCCATTCTTGACCTTCCCGTAAGTTCTAAAGTGAAGGAACGCAGGAAAAAGGCCCAGAAAACAGCCACACGGACTGATTTGACACAAGTGTATTAAATGCTTGTTGACAACAGTGCCGCCTGATGAACGTTACAAGTGGACCAATGCACTGCGATGGGGCCTCACCTAAGCAGCAGTGTGAGGCCCTGGCCTACCTTCCAGGAAAGGGGCCTAGAAAATCCAGGGGCTTGGAAAATCCAGGCGCTCCCAGTCTTGCCCAGGGCAGAACTACCTTACCCGCAGCAGCACAGGTCACAAATGCACTTCCTCTTCATAGGGGCCATCCCGGATGCCCTGATGTCCCCTCAGAGCATGCTCAACTGCAGCCTCCTGGTGGACCCCAACTCGGCGGCGGGGACAGGCCAAGTTTCCAGGGCTTTGGCAGTCGTTCTAAAAATTTGCTCAAAAGAAGACTTTGGCGGCTGCTCAAAAGAAGATTTCAGCGGCCGTTTTGCAAAGTTCTGTCGTCTGGAAGCTGGCTTTGAGCGACTGAGCAGCACGGAGCATGGACAATGCACAAGCCTGAGCGACCTCCTGCAGGCTGTCGCCGCGCATCTGCTTCCCGGACCCACCCACGCACTTGCAGTGGCTGGCAGGCCAGTGGAAGCCGCAGGACCCAGGACCCAGAGTCCTCTGTGACGTCCGCAGGGCCAGAAGGAGAGTACCTTGGGGCACCAATGATCTCACAAGAGCAGCTGTGCCTCCCTGCACAGGCACAAGGCAAGAGTTCTCCACTGGATCTTGAAGATAGACGAGGACATGATGAACCATTTGGAAAGCTCATGGATTCCAAAGGCAGCAGGTGCCATGGTCTCATGTGCGAAAAAGGCTGAAAACTCCACACCAGCACATTGGGTAACACTTTCTATTTTCTAGGATGCATGATGTCCCTTCTCATGGAAACCCATCCCTGGACTGCCAGAGGTCAACCTTGAATACCATTTCCAGATCTTCCTGTGAAATCTAGCCTTCCCCCTGAGGTGTGGGTTGGTATTGCTCTTTCTTGAAAACAAAGAAGTTTAAGAGTGCCAGACGTTTATTGCTCACGTGGGTGCATAATCACTTCTCCAGGTGCTAATACTGATGCCTTGCAGGAGTGCTTCTCAAATTTTAGTGAGCATCAGAACCACCTGCCTTGATAGAAACCAGATCACCTACTCCACCCTCAAAGTTTCTTCTTCAGTAGGGCTGGGGCTGGGGATAATGTTCATTTCTTACAAGTATACAAATAATGCTGATGCTGCTGGAATACAGAATACACTGTAAAGATCACAGCTTTAGAGGTTGTTCACCCTCTCTGACCTGCCTTCTCCTGGTACGGGGTTTTTCAAGTTACCTGGTCCTGAGAACGACTACAGATTTCTGCCCATAGATAAAACCTCTAGTTTGGAAATCTAGTTATGAGAAGAAGCCAGGTGGTTATGATCATGCAAGTTCAAGAGGAACTAGAGACATGCTCTGATAGGATGTTTGGATTTAAACCCTGAAGTTTCTTGCTTATGAAAATGGAAGCCTAAAGTATTGACAATCTTTATGCTTGATTTTCCTCCCCACACTTCCTAATTCTTTTCACTTATTTTATAAACAAGTGAAACACCTTGGAGTGCAGAACACAGTATTCAAAAGAGTTTGGGAGGTGTGTTGTGGTTATTGTTGTTTTGCTTTTTCTTCCACAGTAGACACTATAACAGAGGTCAACAAACTAATGCCTACAGGTAAAATTCAGCTAGCTGATCACCTGGGTTTTTTGTTTGGTTTTGTTTTTTTGTGTTTTTTTTTTTGGCAGGGAGGGGATCCAGGATTGAATTTTGGGGCACTCAACCACTGAGCCACAACCCCAGCCCTATTTTGTATTTTTATTTAGACAGAGTCTTACTAAGTTGCTTAGCACCTTGCTGTTGCTGAGGCTGGCTTTGAACTTGTAAGCCTCCCAAGCCTCTGGAATTATAGGTGTGGGCCACTGCGCCCTGGCTTGATCATCTGTTTTTGTGTGGCCTGTGAGCTAAGAATGGTTTTCACTTTAAATGTGGACACGTTAACATTACATGGCACTTATATAAAATTCATATTTCAGTGTCTATAAATAAATTTTTGAATTTTGTTAAAAATTCCATGAAAACACTCCTAATTTGGTATCTTGGTCAAATTATTTACTATCTGACTTTTTACAGAAAAAGTTTTCCAATCCCAGCTCTAGAAAGTCAGGAGCAAAGCTTACTGATCATTTGTAAGAATAGTGAAGCTACTCTTTGTCTTCCTGGTAGGAGACTAGAGCTCTAAAGACAAGAAAAAAAAAAAAAGAGAGGTGGAGAAGGGAGTCAGAGAGTTGGAAGCCAAAGTAAAGCCTTCAGTGCTGTCCATTTCCATAGTCAGGTACATAATGAGGTCTTTACAGAGGAACTACAGTACTGGATGCCAGCCTTCTCTTCACAGCTGCCTAAATATTATCAATAAATCTTCCAGCAGAAGGAAGCCCATTTGTACCCCCTTGTGTTCAAACCACCCCTGTGGATCTTGCCTTGTCAACAACCATCCCCTCAATGAGAATTTTTAAATTTTTCTAATTAAAAAAAAATGCCCTCTACAATGGGTAGAGATCTTGAAAGAAGAAGATGTTGGGTATTAGCTCCAACAATATCTACAAAGCTAGCACTAGACAGTAGGACAACCTCACTCTGCCTTGTTACACTTACTGCCCAAGTTTTGTAATATCTGGCCAACACTACACCAAATCATCTAAACACCTCCCTAACTTTACTGCTCAAATTTCCCAGCTCTAAACTATTGTCAGTTGTTAGTCCAAAAAACCTTTCTGGAGTCTTTCCTATATGCTGTTTCATTTATCTCTTAAAACTGACATGAACCTATCATGCCCGTAGTACAAATCAAAATACTGAAGCTGGGAGGTAAATGAAAAATCACAGTTAATAAGTACTAGATCTTAGACTCAAGACATACACTGGTCTTTCTTTGCAAACTTCTTCTCCCAAGAAAAGGGCAAAAAGAAAGAATGGGGGCTAGGGATATAGCTCAGTTGGTAGAGTGCTTGCCTTGCATGTACAAGGCCCTGGATTCAATCACCAGCACCACAAAAAAAAAAAAAAAAAAACGAATAAAAGAAAGAATGTTGGTAAGTTGGAGATTTTTGTGACCACTACAAACAGTATTATTTTTAATTTAACTTTTATGGCTGGGGATTTGGCTCAGTGCTACAGCATTTGCCTAGCATGGACTTGGATTCAATCCCCAGCTCTGAAAAAAAAATCACATCTTAATATGGCAATCTTTGTATATTTAATACTTTCCAAAAAAAATTATTCAGTAAATTTTTCAGTGGAACTGCACAATTGTTTTTCTGTGGCCTTATAACCCACATAATCCCAAATTCATTATTGTCTATCATACAAAAAGCTGCTCTTTTTAAAACATTGTTTTTAAAAAAATTATACTTCTTTGTTTGGGCACAAAGCACTTTTAGCAAACATTGTCTTTCTAGCATCCCTAACTATTTAGGATAGCTAATCTTCACTGACATCAATAGAAGTCTATCCCACCGTCACACAAATTAATACTTCTACCACTCCAGAATTCATTCATTCTACATATTAGATCACCCATGATAAACTCGGCACTGTGCTGAACAATGGAGACAAGAGTCAATGTCCTCATGGAACCTTGTCTAGAGAGAAGATCAGAAAAAAAAAATAGTGCCCAAGTGTATCATTAATAAATAATAAATGTCAACAAGAAAAAAATAGGGAGACTTGCTAAATTCTATTAAACATTTAAGAAAGAAATACCAATCCTACATAATCTCTGAGAAAGCAGAGGAAGAAGAAATACTTCCCAATTCATTCTATAAGGACATTAATACTCTGATTCCAAAGCTAAAATATATTGTCACATGAAAACTATAGACTGACATGCCTCAAGAATATAAATGTGAAAATCCTTTTTTTTTTCCTATTTATTTTTTTCTGTTTGACATATTCACTTCGCAAGACAAGTTGCTGCCTCAGAAAATCCTTTTTAAAAGTTAGCAAACTCCCATGCATGTCTGAGTTTGTCAGGATGAACTGAACTACTATGTATACACATAAAGACCTAATTTAAAAAAAGAAAGAAGTTAGCAAACTCAAGCCAGCAATATATAAAAAGGACTATACATGATGACCAAAAGAAGTCAAGAATACAAAGTGGTTTTAATGTAAGCAAAAATCAATTAATGTAATACACTGCATCATAAGACTAAAAAAATAAAAACTACTAAATCTCAATAGATTCAGAAATAGCATTTTACAAAATCCAGTACTCATTCTTGATAAAAATTCTCAACAAATTAGGAAAAGGGAATTTCCACAACTTGATAAAGGATAGCATCAAAAAAGCTGCAACTATCACACTTAGAGGTGAAAAGCTGAATGCCCTTTGATATGAATGAAGAACAAGACTAGATGTCTTCTCTTCCCACTTATATTCAACACCCCATAGGAGATTCTCATCAGTGGAATAAAAAAAAAAAGGAATTAAAGGCACAGTTGGAAAGAAAGACAACTATCTTTATTTGCATATGACATGATTCTTTATGTAGAAGTTTCTAAGAAACCTATTTTTGGAAAAAGCTAAAACTAAAAACATGAGTCAAGCAAGGTTGCAGAGGATGCAAGACTAATATACAAAAATAATTGAATTTCTGTATACTAGCAACAAACAATCCCAAAGTTAACATAATTTGATTCACAGTAGCATCAAAATGAATAAACATGTTCGTAGACCAAAAATTCAATATTGCTAAGAAAATAATCATCTCTAAATTAATTTAACTTTAAATAAGTTATTGCTCATAGTTAAAATAAATACATTCCTCAATGCATTTAATAATAATAAAATAAATAAATAAATTAATTAATTAATTAATTAATTAATTAATTTATACAGTAAATAAAATCTCTCAGAATTCCAGTAAGCTTTTTTCATAGAAATTGACATGCTGACCCTAAAAATAGCCAGTTTCAAAAATGAACAAATAAGGGGCTGGGGATGTGGCTCAAGCGGTAGCGCGCTCGCCTGGCATGTGTGTGGCCCGGGTTCGATCCTCAGCACCACATACAAACAAAGATGTTTTGTCTGCCGAAAACTAAAAACTAAATATTAAAAAAAAATTCTCTCTTAAAAAAAAATGAACAAATAAAAATGTGCTTCAACTACCCAATTTCAAACTTACTATCAAGATTATTAATCAAGACAGTGGGATAAGGGCATAAAAATGGACATATAGATCAATGAAAGAAAAGTGTCAGGGCTGGGATTGTGGCTCAGCGAGCATGCCTAGCACCGATGGGGCCTGAGTTCGATCCTCAGCACCACATAAAAAATAAAGGTATTGTGTTGTGTCCATCTACACCTAAAAAAATGTATTAAAAAATACTTACATTTAAAAAAAAAAGGAAGAGAAAAGTCCATAATTAAACTTGTACATTTATGGCCAAGTGGTTTTCAGCAAAGGTAGCAAGGCAATTCACTAAGGAAAGGATGATTTTTTTCAACAAAAGGTGCTGGAACAACTACCCAAATTCTAGGAAAAATTAAAAGAA